GATTTGTGTGCTAATAATCTGTTTTGATGATAATTCTATTGGTTTCTTGTCTCAAATACATGTTCTTGAGATGTATTCAAAGCTAGAAATTAGTTGTGCAAACATTTTTTATTATTCATTCTGGAAATTACAAATGCAAATATGCTTGATTTAGAAAATGAGTGAGGTAGGAAAAGACAATCCCTGGTTGGTGAAGGATATTACAAGTAACAGGTGAGAAAATATGCTACAAGCAGGAATATTTATGAAACGTAAAAAAGTTATTACACCCAAACATCACTGATTTTATACACATGCAGTCCAATACACATAACCATCCAGACGCGATCTTGCTACTTGACTAACTTTCTTTATTTCACATCTTCTCAGGGATAAACACAGACTACTCGACTTTCTGCAACCAACAATGCATGTCGTGTCGTTGAATCATTCCTCCTAGATGGACGCTCTTAATGGCGCTCATAGCGAGCAAAGGTGTAATGAACTTTTGCAGACGAAAAACTACCTAGTCTGCTAGATGACATTTTGTCGTTCTGGCATTTTTTAGATTTTTACGTAATACCGATCTTTGCCGGTCGGCTGGAGACAAGAAGACTAAAAGCAACCCCCTGTCTGGCAAGAGATCTGGAGGTTACCACTACTTGGGGACGCAACAATATGGTACAGTGTAGTGATTCCAAAACAAAGATGAAGGGTATTTATAACCACAAAGCCTCCATTTTCTGTGCAAGGCCCAGATAAGACCTATCTTCCAGTACTGCTCACATTTTTGGGCTGCTGCCGCTTGCCTGTACGACTACTCCGTTGTCTTAGGGTGTCGAGAATGTGGAACAATCTGCCTGGGGAGCCTTTTCGCAGATCTACTAACCTTAGGCAGTTAAAAAATCAGATTAACGTGTCTTTAAGCTCCTTATATCAGACACGGTGCCCAAGTATTTAGGGTTCAGTTTACGCGACTGCTTCGGTATATAAAAAAAAAACAGATCATCAGGTGTTTTAAATTTGGCTCTCACCATTGTTGTTTCTGGTAGAATATTAATCAATGTTCAAACTCTAATTTAAGCTCACTTACTGACATTCTAAATAACGGATTATATCCCTCTGTTTCTGCTACGACAGGCTGATATGATCGGTCCTCAACGAAACTTGAAGCTCTCAAGTCAATTTTGATGTAATTGATTACGGTACATGTATAATAAATCTGGGAAGATACAAAGAAAGCCAGCTGATAAAGAACCTGTGCATTATTGGACATTAGGAATACCTGCTTGCTTAATCGATGTGTAAACATTCCAAAACACGTTATCAATTCAACCATGCGTATTTTTCCTATTGTTCAGAGTACTTGAAAGTCTTATCTTGATAGTCGGTAAAAAAGTATTCAGTCAGGAAAGTACTTCATTGGAGATAAGCACAAACTAAGGAATATAATAGGTGCTACAGTTGCATGTTTAAACATCTTTTAATGATTTTGTCAGGGACACTGTATAAAACACAGTATAAAAGAAGCTCCCAAAAAGACTAAAAGTATGTTTAAACTGATTTTTGATGTTAAGCATCATTCACTTAACACGTTTATAAATTGTAGTTAAAGATTGTTATTAAAAAAGGATTATCAAAAGCTTTACATAGTGCATTGAGAAAGACCTAAACCGGACCGTTAGTAAAAATTTCCAATCATCTATTAGGATTTCATTATTACAAGGGGATACAGAGTATATTCAAGGATACATAATTTTGAAATATGTAGCAACAAAAAACGCACACTGAGAGATTCTGAAAATCCGAAATCTTATAAGTTATAAGTAATTACGAGGGAGGTTGTTGTAATGTCTGAGAATAAGCAGTTTCCTTTAAGAGCAAAATGGAATCTGTTTTTATTACTTCCAAAGGAACTACAAGGATGAACTTGGCAACATGACTGTGAACGTCCAAATATAATATAGAGTTAACCATTTTTTTGGAGAGTTTCTTAAACAATGGTTTAAAACAATATGGACATCATTTTTAAGTTGTGTACCAATCGCAAGCAGCAAAATCATTTCACTGGTGGTATGTTATGTGGATAATCAAATCTCCATCAAAGCATTGAAGTTGCTTTCGCTCCAGGCTTTGACTTATCTGGTGGCAATAATCAATGCAATGCTCAGAACTCATTACTTTCCTAAGGCGTGGAAGATCGCTGAAGTCATCATGATCCCAAAGAAGGTAGGTTCAATATTCCCCCAGGATTACTGTCCCATTAGCCTGCTGTCAGCTCCTAAGCTCGCTGAAAAGGTGATTTATCATCACCTTAAAAATTTCTCGGCAGATCACCATGTGATTCCTGACGTACAATTTGGCTTTCGGTCTGAGCATAGTACGGAGCTACAGGCAGTTAGACTGGTAGAGCATGTAACCAGGGGATTCACCCTGAACAAAAGTACTGGTATCTTGCTTTTAGATGTATCAAAGGCATTTGACAAGGTCTGGCACATGAGCCTCTTGTATAAGCTCATACAAAACGGTTTTCCATTTTGCCTTCTAAATCTGAAATCTTTTCTAGAACGAAGGAAGTTTCGGATCAAGATTAACAATATGTTGTCAACAACACGGCCCGTAAGCACCAGTGTTACTCAAGGTTCGGTCCTAGGACCAATCCTTTATTCACTTTATATACATGACGTCCCTTGCCCCAGCAACTGTGAAATCTATCTCTATGCTGATGACACTGCACTGCTAGCTCAGTCTTGTTCTGGTAACCTGATTCACGACAGGCTGCAGAGTGCGCTGGAGGAAGTAGGCAGTCTATTGTACTAAAAAACGTCGCGGTGCCCCCTCAGAGATGTCAGCGAATGGAACTCGGATAATTCCAAGGCAGCTTTATCCTTTGTTGTGCAAAAATTCAAAATTAAGTTTGATCAACAAGATTCGGTTATATAAAATGGTTTTAAGACCCGCAATCACCTACGCATGCGCGGCTTGTTGTTTTCTTGCCAAGACGCACATGCAGAGACTGCAAGTCCTGCAAAACAGAATCCTACGCACAATCACAAACGCCCCTTGGTACGTGTCAAATGAGACCATTCACAGAGATCTTGATATCCCATATCCAAGGGACTATGTAAAACAACAGGCACAGCGGCCTTATAATCAAGCCCAATCGCACAGCAACCCTCTGTTGCGTGATTCAGTAGACAAAACAGTCGAGCAAGTTCGCAAACATTCCAGGCCGCGCCTCGAACTGTGATCAAAATTAAATTGGGAATTCAGACCAACCAAAACTATTTCAGTATACAGACCGATCAAAATTATTTTTTGAAGTTACAAAATTATTCGAGTAGTCAAAGCAATAATGCTTAAGCTTTTTAAATGATTTACTTCTTTTATTTGCTCTATTCTTCCTTCCTTTCTTTCCTTCTTTCCCTTTTCCCCTTAAACATGTTTGGTATCTGGGTAGCGATACCTGACAGACTAACAGACCGACGAGATTCTTAACTACGAGCAAAGGTCCACCGGACCGATCTGACGAACAATGACGAATAGTAGTTATGTGAATTAATATACGGTATTTGGGATTTCAATTTTTTGAAATTTAAGTAAATTCACAAATAGTATATTTTCTACTTATATTCTACTATTCATATTTTCATACTTTCTACTTTTTGCATATCTTTAAAATAAAAAATATTGCAAACGATGAAAGCAACGGCTGCGACCCACTATAAAATAAATTCTAGCTTCCAAACACAACCGTTACCCTGAGGTGCGCTTTCAGTCTCAGTCTTGCTTCAAGACCGATGGAAATGAATAATTGATATTGTTAATAAAGAGCTATGGTATTTATATCATGTTAAAAGTATGTTTTTCATAGTTTAAGTGGCCCCCCTTGGCCATACGCTTTACCATGGTACCTATAAAAAATATACTATTTTTCTTAGATGACACTGAAAATCCAAATATCATATATTCACCAATATATAATAACGAATTTGTAGGTATACCAAACGATTAAAAACAATGACATTTGAGTTTTTTGCTTGGATAATTTCGACCATGGCAGATTCCATCGTAAAAAGGAAATAAATTATTAGTTATAAAAATGTCAACTGATTCATCAGATACGCAGTCAGAAATGAGAAGCATCAAAGTGCTTCGAAATAAATATATTGTTTTTTAATTGGATTATTCTTTGGAGGTCACCACTGATTTTAATGTTAAAGTACAGTGAACTTCAGTATTTTTATTAAACGGTAGCCTGTCAACAGATAGATAGATCGATCCACAGGGTGTCTCAATATTAATTGACCGCCCCACTGGCATATCCAGAAAAAAGTTCTTAGGAGGGGTGGTGCTCTTGCGGGTTGGCCTAGCCTTTGAGTGAGGGGAGTCACTTAGTCACTTTGTATAAGGAAGAACGTATCAGGTCGTGAATATGCCAATGGATCGGCCCCTCTAATTTCTTTGTATGCGTAGAAAATAAATTTATTTAAAAGTTGTATGGTATAATTGAGGTTTTTCATGCAATGTGGGAAAGATTGGAAAATCTCGAAACTGGAGATATTACAGACCAAAATATGTGAATTGACCTAAACATATCTTAGTCCAAAAGTTGATAGTTTGCGAGATACAGGGTGTCAAAGTTACAATTTTATTTTATATTCTTCCTTATTGCTTGAGAAATATTTCAGATTTTGGCATAAAACTCGGTATAGGAAGATTTTCTAGTATGAGAAACAAGAGTACGTTATTTTTTAAGGACAAACTTTTAGAGGGCGCCATTTAGAGCACCATTTCGGTAAATAACTTATCATAACTTTTTTGTGCTACCCTGAATAGAACAACTGACAGAAAAACCTTATTTTCTCGTATTTCCACAACAAAAAAGGTTTACTGGTTAGAAGTTTCTAAAGCTAGCAGTTTTCGAGATATTTGTTTTTATAGCATTACATCTTGCATTAAATGCATATCAGAATATTCATCAAACGTATTATCCATGACGTTTAACAACTTATTGTCACCTTAATTGTGAACTAAAATACTTCCGTCTTCTGGGCTATCAAGTAAGCCTTACAAGTGGGTAACTAATTGCCTTTTCAATCGCAAGGCATTCATAGTACTTGATGTGTTCTCCTCTTTATACCAAAATGTCAATGCGTGTGTCCTCACGGATGGCTTTCAACCCCAACATTGTTTCTGTGGTATATTTATGAGTAACTTTATTTATCCTTTGCTTGCCAGAGTCCTTCAACATAGAATTACTTTTAGCAGAAAAATAATAATTTTCCCATATCTCTGCATATCACACTAGCACATGTAAACATACACGATATCACTCACCTTCTGTTATTCGCAAAAAAAACAACACAACTATTATAAAAAAATCCACTAATTCATATAATTTTCAGGTGACACTTTTGTTATAATACCGCGCGACATATAGTACAGGGTAATTAACATAAATTAATTCATTTCTGATTTCTCAAATGGTACGACTGATACGTAACAGGTAAAGTACCGCGACAGCGCTGATACTACAGAACCATAATATTTATTCCGTGAACGCTATTCAACTCCCCACTTTTTGGCAATGTCATCTTTCTGTCTAGCTCCGTATGCGAGATAACTCCCCATAGCTATAAATCCTTAAGAGGCGCGTTTAAGTGTATACAGGGTGTTACCGCTAACATTACACAACCGCAGCCTCATAAGAAGTCATATTCTGTCTAGGCTCGTATGTGAGACAACTCTCCATCGGTGCTTTCTAACAATGAATCCCTGATAGTCCAAAACGGTAATTTACAGCGGACCAGGGGCCTTATTCTAACTGAATTTTGAGCGTTAAAATTAATTTCGACGTCGCCCTACCGTCATATATAAACATGTTCCGCTATGAAAATTTTGATACCTGATTCTAGCGATTTTCTATATTCAAATTATCATGGCTGTACCAGCTTAGCTCGTAGCTGAATTTGGCAGTTATTGCCAGTACCCTTATGTAGCTGCAATCAGGTTAAAAATGTTTATCCCATTTCTTATATACCCTTGGTATGAATTTTAGCGTGACGCTGTCTACCATGCCATGTTCTCTATTTCTATTTTCAAATTCAGCCACTGCTCCATATATGGAATCCCCTTTGATGTCCCTATAAACTCTTTTCAGGTCATGGCATATACCTCTCGCAGTGATCAAATCTCACTGACACCACACTCAGCCTCCATGCTGATCGTACTCTTATCTCCTCCTTCACATATGGTGCCAATAGGGAATTAATTAAATATGTCCCATAAAGGGTGTTAAAGTTTAAGAAAAATATGGTTTTTCGTAAATTTCTTAAATATCCTTTAGCTGATTTTGTTGTAATTTGGCGGTGGTATTTATAACATTAAGGAGCCAATTTAGCGCTAACTAGTTTAAATTTATTAAGTGAAGTGGCATCTCGAATGAGATCTGAACGAATATTTGTGACAAAAAATATATGCCACCAACTTTTGTGTGAATTTTATTATGTTCTTTGGATTAAGCAAATAGAAATACAACCTTTTTGTCTCCTGATTTTTTTTCGTATCCTGCTTAGTTTTCGAGAAAATATTGCATATCCCTTGGCCACAGAAGGAATACGGGACAAGTTTCTATTGGAAATTTCCAAAATAAACTTTTCCCCATATTCTTTGTGTGGTCCATGGTTACGCATTTAAGTGGAATTTTTTCCTCGAAAACTAAGCAAGACACGAAAAAAGTTCAATAGACAAACAAGTTGTATTCCTATTTGCTTAATTTAACGAACAACGCTCGAGACGACACTGGACTTAATAAATTTATTCAACTTAGGGCTAAATTAGCTCCTTAATGTTATAAATACTACTGTCAAATTACAACAAGATTAGGTAAAGGATATTAAAGACATATACGAAAAACCATTTTTTTTTCTTTAAATTTTAACACCCTGTACTTTGAGAACGAAGAATTTGCAGACCTATGTTTATATGAACTTTTTGTCTTAAATCACTCAAAGAATACTTAATTAATACACTGTATAGTATCCTACGAGATCCCAGCCCTCAAAACATGCTTGCGAAATGCTGGTTGCAGATTGTTAGGTAAATATAAGCAAAATGATCGTTCTGCCATTCCTCCTTAGGTGGCGCTCTCGTCATGTGGGCTATTTGAACAACGTGAATGAATGAATGAATCTTGAATTTTAGAGGCATCCCGGCCACCATAAGGAGCCAGTGCATAGCCCTTATGCACCTCTACAATACTTAAATCACAAGCCTCGCCCTTTTAGCGAAGTTGAGAATCGCCTTGAGTCCAAGCTCCTTTACGTCCTGAGGGTCCAAAGTAATGGACCCCAGTATAGTCTGCCTATAGTAGCTCAGAGCTTCACAGCGACACAAAACGTGCGCCGAGGTCTCTTCCTCTACTCCGCAGCGTTCGCACAAGGGATCCTCAGCCACCCCCATCACGTGCAGATGCCGCCTTAACGTGTTATGGCCAGACAACAGTCCCACCAGCAACCTTAGGTTGGCTCTACCCAGAGATAGGCAGAAGCGTCCATCCTTAGCACTGGGCCCTTCAATGGGCTCTCGTGCTTGGCGGAGATGTCTAGAGATACTTCTCCATTTCTGAGAGTGTTGTCTTGCAACACACGTCTCCATTTTCCTCCTAGCTTTATGCGCGGTTACTCCTAGAGCTGGCTCAGGACCAACGAGCTTGCTGGCTGATCCTGTTTTCGCCAGAGTGTCCGCCGTCTCATTGCCCCTTATCCCAGCGTGCCCCGGTACCCATATTAACGATACCGGATGCCTCGCTGCGAGGCAATCCAGAGCCTTCCTGCATTGCAATACAAGACTCGAAGTAATCTTACATGCACTTAGTGCTTTCATTGCAGCCTGGCTGTCGGATAAGATTGTTATTCTTCTCCTAGGCGCACCCTCCTCCAGAATGTGAGATACACAAGCCAGAATCGCAAAGATTTCCGCCTGGAAAATGGTGGTGTACTCACCGAGAGGCAGAGATAGCCTAGTTCTAGGTCCAGAGACCCCAGCAACAACGTACCCTAGTACGAATTTTGCATTTGCAATTGCGGAACTGTCAGATTATTATTTTTGTATATTTCCTAACTAATTTTGATAGTTTGATCCTCAACCGCACTAGTAAATTGGATATCGCTGCCATTTGTACCGTCCTGATCCGTTGTATTGATTGCCAATATTAATATGCGAATTCATGATTGTCAGCTACTTCATTTTTTAGTACCAGCTCTTTAGCTTTCACGACTTGAGCTAAAGTTTTGAACTGGTCATACGTGACGTGTTTAAATATCTCTCTTAAATTATTACGAACCATTACAATACTGTAGTTTATTGGGGATTATATTTTATTTGTGTGATTGTGGAAATAATTGCTGCTATTAATTTCGTCGGAAAAATCATATCATCGTTTTACTATATACTATGTATTTGCTAAGTGCTGCCGTTGTTAAATTAATTTCTAAGATACTTCCGGACTCTTTGTCTCTCACCTATGTGGAGAAAAATGTATATTCTTATAGCCAACCTAATTTGAGTGAATCCCTGTAAATCAATTAGTTAAGTGGTTGGGATTCGAAGATCTACCGACCTCTGCACTTTGATTTTCTGGAGCAGCAGCATATCGGTATTGTATGCTGAAACCTTGCTGAGAAATTATAAGATACACTGATGCTCAGATCCGGAGCACCAATAACTGGACAGTACTCTCAGGCTAGGATTGAGGAGATATATGTCGCAAAGTACCCAGCTCAGATATTCCTGCTCATTTCCAGCATCTGCTGCGATTGAAGAGATGTGTTCGTACCAAATCAAGGCCTCGGTGATCAGAACTCTGACAAGTCGAAATAATTAGCTTCCAGGCAAAGCTCGGCTAATCATCGAAACACATGCGCGACTTTGTAACTGACATTTTTACTATTGTCACTTTCTGAGTAGTAGCGTCTTGTTAGTATCAGTATGAAAAAATGTAACGCAACGCGGGTATCAGTTCATAAATAATTATGTTCAGCACAAACTAGACCCTCTGAGAAAAAAGTCAGTCAAACAGGTTCATACAATTAATCCATATACATTCTTTCCTTGCCCTACCGGTAGTCTATCTGGCAACGTCGCCTGACCCCGATACCTAACCCGGTTAAACGTGGCAGCGCGTCACTGCATAGGAAACACTATGCTGTAGCGCGACAGAAATACGTGTAATATCAGGACACTCAACGTGGCCGGCACGCCGTCGGGAGCAGAAGCAGACACGGCCGGTATGTACGCGGTCCGTCTGCTGAGAATATTTTTAAGTTTTAAGAGCTAATGTACGGAGAAATCTATGATGTGTGAAATATGTCTAATAGATGCGCAGAATTGCCAAGGTTGGGAACGTATGATTATAGTGACATCAAAAATTAATATACTCTCTCCACCCCCCTACAACCCCCGTCTCTAAAATTTTCACCTAAAAAATGTTTTTTTCAAAAATGATCAGGATAGTAGTAACATCGTGTTAAAATGTCATCCAAATCCGTACTTTCCAAGATATAGACGGGTCACACAGAAAGACCGACAGACAGCCGGAAATGAGTGACATAGTTTTTCGTGGTGTACATATCATATAACATCCAAAAAACGTAATATCTCATTTTCCAAAATTTTCGCGATTGAAATACTTTCCAGCCGGTAAGCGCGAGAAGTAAAAATTGCGCGCTTTGCAGGGAAAAATACTGTACCCTATTTTACTACGATTGTACAGAAAAAAGAATATTTTGTTCTCATTGTAATTACCTGAGCTTTGGCTGTGTTCTATATCTTTTTTGTTATATTGTAACGACAGGCTCTCACCACAATTTAAAAAACTTGAAGTTCATACAAGCAGTGGTCTCAAAGAGATTCAGTCAACCGATAAAATAAAATACTTAGGCGTGATTTTGGACAAACACTTAAAATGGGATACCCATACAAGTACCTTGTGAAGAGACTGAGATGTATTATTCCAAAATTCAGGTACTTAAGAGATATTCTAGATAAGAAATATCTATATAATCTATATTATGCTCTTGCTTTTTCTCTATTACTTTACGGAATTTTGGCTTGGGGGGGGGGGTGAGTTATGAATAATAATTACAAAAAGGTTGATGTAATCCAAAAATAATTCTAAAATTGATTCTCCATAGGGAGATTACTTTCTCAAGTGATTTTCTATATCTGGAGGTTCAGCTATTAGATTGCAGACAAATTTATTTTTATTGTGGTCTAATACATTATTTCAAATATTCGAAATACTTGAATCGTACCATTCATAACTACCCAACAAGATTCAATCAAAATTCAATGTGTATTCCACAAACATCACAAACCCTTACACAACGATCTCTGTTTTTCTTGGGACCAAAATTCTATAACTTCATACCAGAGTCATTAAAAGTAATTAAATCAAATAAATCATTTAAAAAAGAACTAAAAAAATGGATTTTACAACAACAAAGGTACTTCATCCACGAAATTGTAGATCTGAAAAATCATTATCAAAATCAATAATATTTTACTTACACTACATCCA